TTCGGCTCCGGTTGAGTCATGTCATTTTTTGCTTCAATGAAGTCATGTGGTTTTTGGCTCCGGTGGAGTTATCTCCTTTCGGCTCCGGTGGAGTCATGTCGTTTTCGCATCCGGTGAAGTTATCTCATTTTCGGCTCCGGTGGAGTCATCTTGTTTCCGGCTCCGGTGGAGTCATGTCTTTTTTGGCTCCGATTGAGTCATCTCGTTTTCGGCTCCGGTGGAGATTCATCTTGTTTTTAGCTTCGGTAGAGAGTCATCTCATTTTCGACTCTGCTAGAGAGTCATCTCGTTTTCGGCTCCGGTGGAAAGTCATCCCATTTTCAGCTCCGGTGGAGTCATCTCGTTTTTTGCTCCAATGAAGAGTCATCTCGTTTTCAGCTCCGGTTAAGTTATCTCATTTTCGGCTCCGTTTGAATCATGTCGTTTTTTGCTCTGGTGGAGATTCATTTAGTTTTCTACTCCGGTGGATAGTCATCTCGTTTTCGGCTCCGGTGGAGCATCTCGTTTTTTGCTATAGGGTGAAAAGTCATCTCGTTTTCGGCCCGGTGGATAGTCAACTGTTAATTTTATTTATGTTTTTCTTTGCGTTTATATTCAACTCTCTTATCAAACTCTAGTTGTTTTTGTTATACCATTTGAGTTTGAGGGGATGTTGAAATATTTTCGATATTCAGTTTTAGATATAGTAGATTTATATTTAGATTTAGATTTGATTTTATCCATAGATTAGATTACTTATATTTGAGTCTATCGAGTCTGTTTTGTATTGCTTATATATATAGACTCTTATTTTAATGATCAATAATACAATTTCATATTTTTCCCCAAAATTTCTAACACCAATAAGCAAACTCAAATCAATAATAGCATCAGACAGCCCAAAACCAGAACAAATAATTTGTGTGTGTTCTTTTATAAAAATTTTATTATTTATCAAAATATTTTTTAAAATAAATATCAAATCAAATATTTAATTTTTATTTTTATATTATACTAAAATTTAATTACTATTTAAAATATCATATTTAATATTTATTTATATCACATTGTACAATCATTTTAGTTCAAAATTTTACTATTTAAAATTCAAACCGCCCAAGACAAAGACACCCAAAAAGAGAAAATCAATCATTTCCTGGCTTAACAAAAAACCTTTAAATTTCAAGCCATGGAATAATAAATCTCTATCTTAGCTTAAAATTATTAAACTCTAAACGAACATTTGATCTATCGAACATTTTGTACGATCTTTATTATAAAAAGGAATTACCGTCTTACCATAACAACAGTCGGGACATGTTTTCCGTTCGATCACTACAATGTCATGAAGATTTTCGACATCTATTCTCAATCATGAATCAATGAGGGCATAGGACTTTCCACAACCAATCCAATCCAATGACTTTATAGACGACCTAAGCGGAGTCAATGGATCGTATATTAATTTGTTGTGAAATTGACGGACAAAATATAATAATTTTTTAATCAAAGAATATGCAAATTTTATTTTATTTTTTTTAGATACTGTCTTCATCCCACTTAAATTGTCTCATTTTGCAGAGTTTTGTGTATTGTGTAATTAGTAAATAATTAAGAATTATATTAGTAAAAATAATTATGATTTAATAAAAATAATTATAAATTGAGATTAAGATGACTAAATAATTTAATTAATATAAAATTAGGAATTTTCAATTGTGATTTAAGTGTATAATTGTATTTTTTTTTTAAAAAAAAGACAAATTATGTGAGACGGACATAAATAAAAATAATAGACAAATTAAGTAGAATGAAAAGACTACGATTTAACATGGTTTGGATAAGTTTTTGTGTCCAACAACAAGGTGAAAGTTTGCACAAAGTTTTTTTTTTTATCCAAAATTAATATTTTTGTATAAAAGTAAATATAATTGTGTAAGTTTTATACAAATAAAAAAATATAAAAGATTTTGGGTAAGTTTTATACAAATAAAAAAAAAAGTAAAAGATTTTAAATAATATTTTTTTAATAAAATAAATAAATAATACTATCAATCCTTTATTTTTATAGTTTTTGTAAGAATTAGATAACAGTTTGTCTTTAAAAAAAAAAAAACTACTTCATCTCTCCCAAAACACCTGGCAATATTTTAATTTTGATATGTCCTAAGCATCCTATAACATTTTAAAAAAGAAAATAATTAAATATATTTAACTTGTTCCCCACATTTTATCATCCATAGCCTCAAATAAATATAAATATTTTTCTCTCATCGTACTTAATTATCAAATTATTCTATTTAATATTATCTACCTAAATTTTGGTGTCAGACATATTTGGACGGAGGAAGTATAAAATAAAAATTTAATTATTTATTTTATTTAAAAAAAAGATTATTTAATATATTTATTTTATTTGTATAAAACTTACATAATTATATTCATTTTGCACCAAAATATCAATTTTGGACGAAGAACATATTTTGTGCAAATTTTCATATAACACAAAAGAATTTCACACAATAATTAAATAAAAAATTGGGTATGTTTCTTCAAGGGTTTGGCCCCAATTTACTGTGTATATACCGTGCACCATAAATTGGGCGTCAAACCCCCCTTTTTTTTGTTTTGTTTTTTTAAAAAAATTAAATTTTATTTAATATTTATTATAATTAAATGAATATATATATATATAATATATATATATTATTTTGTAGAAAATAAATTTTTTTATAATATAAATAAATAAAAATTTAAATATATATTGGGTATAATATAAATTCATAATAAAATTATACAATATAAATTTTATTAATTCAATTTAATACACATTTATATTATTTTATTTATTATTCATCAAATCAGTACAATCAAAACTCCTCAGACCCCAACCAAATCCAAACACAAAAGAAACAACAAAATCCAAACTCATTCCAAAATTTAAATAAAAACCAATCTCAAACTCAACTTTCCCCAAACTCCCCTAAAGAAACATACCCATAATTTATACTTTTTAAAATGATAGCATATTTTTATTTTGTAAACAAGTAAAAAAGAAAAATAAATAGTACTCCCTCCATTCACAAACTAATATCCAATTTTTTTATTTGGAATGTCCAATAATTATTATCCTATTTCTATTTTTATACACATAATATACTTTTTTATCCTTACTTTATCTATCATTTTCTTTTCTATACATAAAGTAAAAGACAAATTCGTCAATTCATACCAAAAATTAATTACTTAAAAAACGTGTAAATATCAATTAAGATATTAGAAAATAGACGGAGGGAGTATAAGTATAATGAATACGGAAATAATAATAGTTTATTAGTACTATAATTTTAATTAAAAAGTTAGTAAAATAAAATACAAGTAAACAGAAAGGAAGCAGAATGTATGAGAGTGATATGAAAGTAATTGAAGTGAATGGGGAACTAATTAAATAACCTTTTTTGGCATTTGTAAGAGGATCCAAGTTTGTTCTTTTTTTTTTTTTTAATTTTACATCCCAGATTTTATTGTTTGAATTTTTTACGACTCGCTCCGTCCAATTTTTATTATCCTAAATATATTTACACAGTTTTTTAGGTGATTGTCTTTTTGTTATGAATTAACAAATTTGTCCTTAATTGTATGGTAAAGATTAAAAGTAATAAATGAATGGAAGGTAAAAATGTAAAATTTGTGTTTAAAAAATGAAATAGGACAATAGTTTGTGGACGGAGGGAGTATAATTTTACAAAGTATCAATTTAAACTATCTTTTTTTTTAAAAAAAAAAAAATAACACAAACCATCAAATTCAATTCAAATTGAACATAAACAGTAGCACATCATTTTTTGGATTAATAGATTCTATTTCTAAACATTTTTTAAAATTTTATTAATTTAAAAATATTGTTTTTCTTAGAAATATTCAAATCAAGAAGAGGTCATCTTCCTCTACACTCTACACTCATCTAGGCTGAGTTGTCGTCTTTTAATAATATAGCTAGCTGCATATATAGATATATATATATATATATAAATAGCTATTGTGTCTTATTATAATATTATTATCACTACATAATATGACCTACCTACCTATTCTATATTTATTATTCCAAGTATTTAGACTTTTATTTTAATATTTAATTTTATAATTTTCATTAAAAATATAATGCATTTGTTTATATAAAATATCATATTTATTATTTTATGTAAAAAATAATAATAACAAGCACAAAAAGCGTACTGAAACAACATATATATTTATAGATTTTCGTAAAATGGGTATATATGGTTTATTATTTTTTAAATAATTACATTTCACATATATTTAACTCAAAAAACTATATAGATAATCACTATTTTTTTAAGTATTAAACAAAAAAAAAAAGTCTCATAAATTAAAGGGTCAACTTACGTTTTTTTTTTTTTTAAAAAAAAATCACTTTTTTGGTTATGGGTTCAGATTGTTATACAAAGTATTACTTCCTCCGCCCCACGTACCATGTTCACATTGTCGTTTCTATCTGTTCCACATGCCATGTCCACGTTGTTGTTTATGTCCGTCCCGAATAATTATTTTTACTAATACATTCTTAATTATCTACTAATTACACATCTTCTAAAATACAGTGTCTACAGCGTAGCAGACACGGTATGTGGGACGGAGGGAGTATTTTTTTAAAAATATGTTTAGTTAATAATAATTAAGTTATAATATTTTGAAAAACATATATTTAAATGTGTATTTTAAGTGTTAAAAAAAAAAAAAAACAACTCAATTAATATAATTGAGAGAATATATATATATATATAATTATGCCACGTTAGAATTAATTAAAAAACATTCATAGTAATGACATGAAATTAATTAAATTAAATGGCGAGTAAAATGAAGGGACTCTCGACATGCATTGCATTTAAATATATACCAAAATAAATTAAACCAATATTAAATTAAAGCCTCTATTAAATACATAACATAAAATTCTCTATAAAAAGCCTTGTTCACTTCACTCTTCTTCCTCACCAATTGCACATTATACATACATATATATATATAAATTCTCCAAATTCTCTTTGGTATCAAAATTAAATTTAAAATAAAAAAATCCCATATATCACAATGGCATTATTATCATTATCAATTCCAAGAATTGCTTTATGTGTTGTGTCCATTTTCTTTCTTGTTCTTGTCGGTGTGTCGAGTGAAACCCTCGAAGATCATGTAATAAAACAATGTGGGTTCACAAGATACCCCTCTTTGTGTGCCCAAACCCTGCAAAATGATCGATCTTTATTACATCCTAATGATTTCTTGGATGCCCTCGTCAATCGAACGATTTCTGAGATGGGTCTGCCAGATTCCAATTTCGAGATTCTCAGTTACCATTTCATCTCCCCCGAAGCTCAACACGCCCGCGCCGCCATGGGTACGTTTCTGATATGATCTAATTCGATTAATTTTCAATTTCGATGCTGTTAATGATTGATTTTGTAATCATTTTGGTTTGGGTACAGATTACTGCCACGAGCTTATGGGAATGGCGGTTAAGAGACTGAACCAGGTCCGGGAAGCCCTCCGCCGGTCGCCGGAAAATCACAAAGCCGACGTCCAGACGTGGCTGAGCGCCGCCCTGACCTTCCAGGACACGTGCAAGGACTCCGTCGAGGGTCACGTGCCTTCGAATGTTTATATGGCAGAAATTTACAGGCGTATGGGTTATCTTTCCGAGCTGGGTAGTAATCCGCTGGCGCTGGCCAATCGGATTGCGTCCGTACAGGAATCTCCGGCGGCGGCGACGGCGGGGACAGGGCGGCGGGTTTTGGGATTGGGTGGGGAGGATGAATTTCCGGCGTGGGTTTCCGGGAAGGACAGGAAATTGCTCCAGAGTGGGGCGGCGCCGCTCATTAGGGCGAATGCTGTGGTGGCGAAGGACGGCAGCGGGAATTTTAAAACGGTGGCGGAAGCCATCGCCGCCGCGAGAGGAAGCCGATTCGTTATTTACGTTAAGGCTGGAACTTATAACGAGAAAATTAATACTAATAAAGACGGAATTACGTTAATCGGCGACGGAAAATACGCCACAGTTATTACCGCCAGCGGTAGCGTCGCAAAAGGGTCTAACCTTAGAGGCACTGCAACTTTCAGTGAGTTTTAACTTTAATATTTCGATTCTTTATTTTTTGTTAAAGCTTAAATTTATTTTTGTGTTTCTTTTGTGAAATTGTTAGGAAAAAAAAAAATTTAATCCAAAGATATATGAAATGGTGTAGAAATATAAAAATAATAAATATGCTTTAGTGTATATTTTTTTTTTTGAAAAAATTGTGTGAGAAAAAAAAGAAGAGAACAATCTACTGCCTTTGTTCCTTAAAAAAGGTTACTGTTTATATTTTAGGTATATTTTTTTAATATTAATATTATATTGAGTTGTAGTAAAAAAGACAAAATAATGACATTTGTGTAACATAGTTTAAGTTAGAAATATATTTATTACACAATATTTTAGTATTAGTATTATATTGAGTTGTAGTGAAAAAGATAAAAATACCTGTATTTATTTTGTAATAAAAAAGTAATTATATTTATATAATATAATGTAAGTTAAAATGATATTTATTATGTTAAGTTAGATAGTATAAATACTAAATTAGAAATGATGAGCTTGTTTTGTATTTTTGATGAATGAAAATAAAAAATAAAAAACTTTTTAATGGAGAGCGAGGGAGTATTATTGTTTGGGAAAATAATAATTTAAAGTAAATTTACTTCTGCTTACGTCAGCAATTACCGGCGACGGGTTCATAGCGCGGGACATCGGATTCCACAACACGGCGGGTTCGGCGGCGGAGCAGGCGGTGGCGCTGACGGTGGCGTCGGACCACGCCGTCTTCTACCGTTGCAGCATCGCCGGCTACCAGGACACTCTCTACGCCCTCTCCCTCCGCCAATTCTACCGCGAGTGCGACATCCACGGCACCGTCGACTTCATCTTCGGCAACGCCGCCGCCGTCTTCCAGAGCTGCAACCTCGTCCTCCGCCGCCCGCCCGGCGGCGGCTCCTACAACGTCATCCTGGCTAACGGCCGGACGGACCCCGGGCAGAACACAGGGTTTTCTATCCACAACTGCCGCATCGCCGTCGCGTCGGATTATTCTCCGGTGAAGAATTCGGTGAAGTCGTTCCTGGGGCGGCCATGGAAGGAGTACTCGAGGGCGGTGGTGATGCAGTCGAACATCGACGGCGCGGTGGCGGCGCGTGGGTGGGTGGAGTGGCCCGGCGCCGGAGGTTCGATCTACAAGTCGCTGTATTTTGCGGAGTACGGCAATATGGGCGCCGGCGGCGGGACCTCCGGCAGAGTCCGGTGGCCGGGATTCCACGTGATGGCGGCGGAGGAGGCGGCGAGATTTAGCGTCGGTGATTTTATTGGCGGGAACATGTGGCTGCCTTCGACGGGTGTGACATTCGTGTCTGGGCTCCAATGAGTTATTTATTTATTATTATTTAATAATATAAGAAAATATAGTAGTATATATATGATTAAAATTAATATATATATCTATACCTATATATGCGTATGTATGTATTAAATATATTGCGAGCCCAGAGAAGACTGTGACGTGGAACCAAAAGGCTGTCTGTGAACTTTTCATGTTTTGTAATAAGTTGGGTGAAAGAAAGAAGGGTAATTTAGACGAAATGTAATTAATGTATATGGGTTAAGATAAATATGATTGAAATTGTTTTAACTTTTCCGTCACTGGTTAATCTCTGTCAATGCATATAATATACTTTATCGTCCCATCAAAATTACTCTTATTTTACTTTTTAATTTGTCCACTTAAATTTATTTATTGTATTATTTATTTTGATATTTAATGGAGTATTTAATTATTATTTTTTATTTAATATTTATTTACAATAAATATTTTTTTTATTATATTATATTTTTTATTTTAATTTTAATTAAATTTCTAAAATTATCAAAAATTATTATTATTATTTTTTTACTTTTATCACTTTTCAATAGAATATTCCTTTTTTAAAAAAAAAAATTGAGGAAAATTAATGAAATTGTTTTATTAATCACGGACTTATACAAAGGCAATCAAAAACAAATTCGATAGACTCAAATTTATAGATTAGACAAAATCTAAATATAAATCTCATAAATCTAAAAGTGAATATCTAAAATATCTCAGCATCCCCTCAAATTCAAGTAAAACAATATAAATCAACTTAATTTTGATAAGAAAGTTGAATATGAACGAAAAAAAAAACATAAATAAAAATAATAGTTGACTATCCATCGGATAAAAAAATGAGATAACTTTCCACCGAAACCGAAAACGAGATGGCTCTCCACCGGAGTCGAAAACGAGATGACTCTCCACCGGAGCCGAAAACGACATGACTCCACCCGAATCGAAAACGATATGATTTTCCACCCCGAAGCAAAAAATGAGATAACTTTCCACCAGAGCCGAACACGAGATCACTCTCCACCGCAGTCGAAAACGAGATGACTCTTCACCGGAACAAAACACAAGATGACTTTCTACCCTGGAGCAAAAAACGAGATAACTTTCCATCGGAGTTGAAAACGAGATAACTCTCTACCGGAGTCGAAAACGAGATGACTCTCCTCCGGAGCCGAAAATGATATGACTCCACCGGAGCCAAAAACGAGATGACTCTCCATTGGAGCTGAAAACGAGATGACTCTCCACCGGAGCCGAAAATGATATAACTCCACCAGAGCCGAAAACGAGATGACTCTCCATTGGAGCCAAAAACGAGATGACTCTCCACCGGAACCGAAAACGAGATGACTCTCCATCGGAGCCGAAAATGAGATGACTCTCCATCGGAGCCGAAAACGACATGACTCCACTGGAGCCGAAAACAACATGACTTTCTACCAGAGCCGAAAACGGGATGACTCCAGCGGAGCCTAAAACGAGATCATTCCACCGGATCCAAAAACGAGATGACTCTCCACCGGAGCCGAAAACGAGATGACTTTCTACTCCGGAGCAAAAAATGAGATAACTTTTCACCGGATCCGAAAACGAGATGACTCTCCACCGGAGCCGAAAACGACATTACTCTCTAACGAAGGCGAAAACAAAATGACTCCACCGGAGCCGAAAACGAGATGACTCCACCGGAGCCGAAAACGAGATCATTCCACCGGAGCCGACAACGAGATGACTCTCTACCAGAGCCGAAAACGACATGATTTCACCGGAGCCGAAAATGAGATCATTCCATTGGAGCCGAAAATGAGATCATTTCACCGGAGCCGAAAACGAGATAACTCTCCACCAGAGCCGAAAACGACATGACTCCACCAGAGCCGAAAACGACATGACTCTCCACCGGAGCTGAAAACGACATGACTATCCACCGGAGCCGAAAGCAGTTGACTCTCCACTAGAGCAAAAAATGACATGACTCTCCACTATAGCCGAAAACAGTTGACTCTCCATTGGAGCAAAAAACGACATGACTCCACCGAAGCCGAAAACAAATAGATCGCAAACACCAAACAGATCGCACTCATGCAACAGACAAACAACAGACATATGAAAGATTATAGACATGTTTCAGATTGCATGCACGCAATAGACAAGCAGCGGATAGATGACAAATCGTAGACATATTTCAAATCGCATGCAAGCAATAGACAGACAACGGACATATGACAGATAGCATGATCTCAAAATCACAAGACCTCCGGGTACAATCCAGGTTGAATGTACCCGGAGAAACGAGGGTCGGTAAGCTATATTTATGGCATGAGAAAAAAAAGACTTTGATACCATGTTAAAAATTTTGTGGAAAGATAATGAAATTATCTTATTAATCATGGGGCCTATATATAGGCAATACAGAACAAACTCGATAGACTGAAATATAAGTAATCTAATTTATGGATAAGACCAAATCTAAATATTAATATACTAAATCTAAAATTGAATATCTAAAATATCTCAACATTTTAAATCTCCGCCGAATCCAAATAGAATAATTTTAATGAACAGGGGATACGTATATATATGTTATATTTATAGCATTATGTGATTTGTGATGGTTATTCATTAAATCAAAACAAAGAATTAGTTTGTTCACTTTGTGTTGATTAAGAACAAAAACAACCAAATCTCCTTCAACCCACAATACTGGTAACCTAGGAATAACTCCTCCACAGGTATACGTCGTCACAAACTCGTACTGACAACTACCAAATAGCAAGGCTGCTCAAAATATTGATGTTTCCCCTGATCGGAACTCCGATTTCTCCTTCCTCCGGCGAGATAAATGTGACAGACACTCACTTAACATATGGAGAAGGGAAAGTTTGGGGTTGAGAGGATTGATACACTTTTTCTCTCACTACACACTCTCAGAACCCTCACTGTGCATCGTTCCAAAATCTCGAGCTGTGTAAGACAACCACAACTTGGTATCTGCATACATGCAATTAATTCCCTTAGTATAAAAAAGAAATGGTGTGTTTCTTTACGCTTCTGATCAAAAGACGAAAAACCCAAAGAGTCAATTTTATCTTGAGAATACACCATTATAGATAAGACAAATAAAACACAATCCAAAGTTGAGGTTGATAAGACTGCACAAGCTGGGTCAATAGATGTTGTTTATAGGTTCTGACTACAACATCAGCATAAAATTGTTTTGTCCATATGCCAAAAATAGGTAATTGGGTATTTTTCATTTAACAATAATATAAAAAATGCTCCATCCGTCCCGAATAATATGTTCATGTTATTATAATTAAGAAGTGTATTAATAAAAATAATTATTGTATAATAAAAATAGTTATAAATTAAGATTAAAATAATTAAATAATTTAATTACAATTAAAAAAATTATATATTAAAAAATTTAAAATATGATTAAAATGTATAATTATATTTTAAAAAAATAACAAAATATGTGGAATAGACAAAAATAAAAAATATAGACAATTTATGTGAGACGAAGAGAATAATATTTTATAATAAATTATTTATATAAGGTGAGTGAATATAGTATATTATATATTTCCTCCGTTTCACTTCAATAAGGTTTTTTTGGAGTTTTTATTAAATTAAAATATAATACTATTATTTGAGTAGCTAGTGTAAGTGTGTATGAACTTTTGATATTTTTGTTCTTTGACTTTATATTAAAAATAATTGTATCTTTGTTATTTAAGTAAAAGTTAAAGGTATTTTGGTATAAATGTATTATTATTTTTTTCTAAAATAAAAAGTAAATATTTTGAAGTTAGACAGAAAAAAATAATAAAAATTCTACTTTGAATTTGAATTTAGACGGAGGGAGTATAATGTATTAATATGAAAATATATTATATTTTCCTTGTCCCATATATACATACACTGTCACAGAAACGTATATCAGTAAAAATAATTATAATACAATATAAATAATTATTGATTGAAATAATTATTTAGTCTAGTTAAAATTGTAAAAAATTATAAATTATAAAATTAAAAATATAATTAGTATGTAATTAGTTTTTTTTTTTAAATAAAAATGACATAAATAATGATGGACAAAAATGACAATACATACACGATACATTTTGTAATATTTATAGGGAATCATGCCCATTAGCGGAGCCAAATAGGGGCTCGGGGGTCACCGTGACATTGACTATATTATTAGTCATGTAAACCGTTTGGCTACTCAGATTCAATTGATTTTTACTAATTTAATATTTTTATATTAATCTTGAAAGAATTAAAATATATTTTTTTACTATCAATTCTACTAAAAATAATAAATATATCTGAATTTTTAATCTAAATGTAAATTTTTTAGCTCCCTACAAAGAACAATTCTTGCTCCGCCACTGGTCTTCGTGCGATCAAAAAAGATATTGATGAATAAACCCACGAGAGTGATAAAATTTAGTTGAATCGATGCTTTTGAATTTATAGATTGATCATTGCTATTAATTTGAACAACTTAACTTATGCAAAATGGGTTTACACATTTAAAAATTCAGTGTGTTAACTATTTATTTATTTATTTTTAATATATTGTTTTTTATAAAATATCATATTAAGTAATTACATTTAGTCAAAAATTATTGTAAAACACACTCAAGTCTCCTCAAAATACCCAAGAATCGCATCACTCATATAATTTATTTAATTATTTTTATAATGATAGCCGGGTGAGTTTGGTTATAATTTTAAAACCACACTATTGAGTTCGTACATATTTTATTGTCACAAAATATTTATTACATTATATTATTATTTAAATTAAAATTCAAATAAAAAAATCAAATTCAAAATCAAACTAAAAAATATAGCTTCAATTTCAATAATCTCCAAAATTATTTTAAATTCTTATCAATTTGGGGTATGCTTGGTTTGTGTTTTGGTTTTAAAAAATATTATTTTTTTTGAAAAAAATGTATAGGAAATTTTGTACAAAAGAAACAAGCCCTTGGATGAAGTGATTAAAGCGCTTGACTACTTGTTCATTGGATTTGGTTTTTAATTTAAATAGTGGGTGTATTTGTTTTGTAAGATAGTCTGAGTGATAGATATATATAAAATTGTGTAAATAATATAAAAATAATAAATTTGTACAAAATATTAATTTTTTAAGAAAATATGTTAGTTTGTTTTGAAAAAAGAACACCTAATGATTTTAAGGTGATTCATTGCAGACAAAATAATGCTCCATTCGTCATTGTTAAGGTATATAGTTATTTTTACACAAAATTTAATAAATATTCTCAACAAGAGTTGCACTTTTTATTTTTGGATGTTCACTTATTAGTTACATTTCCTTATTTAATAACTATTTATCACATTACTCATTACAAATATTTTTTCAATAATACTTATTTATACAAATACCATTTCATTACAAATAAAATTTATTTTTTAACCTAAAAACCCGCTAATTATCATTCTAATACAATATTTATTAATTTTCGTGCCAAAAGTAAGTATAACTTTTACATCAGGGAAGAGAGAGTATTATTTTAATGGTAGTTGATAAATATTGTGTAAAAATTATTTTATTTTTGTGATTTAGTTTGATTTAATAGTATCAAAGAAAGTTTAAAGTTAAAAAAATAAAAATTTATATAACATATGACCTAACACAAATGAAATGTATGAATTAATAGTATTTTCTTCTTTCATACTCCAAAGTATTCGTTTGAATGAGACAAACAAAATTGTTAAAAATAATATTTTAAACTGAGATAGAAAAATGTATAATAATAGTTTATACAATCTATTAGGATTGATTTTTATCACAAAAAGATATACTATATTATCTTATAAAAATATAAAATAAACTAACACGTGATAACAATCCTCAAATCTATTATTAAATCCATGCATATTAATTAAATTCAAACTATAGATTAAGAAGCTGTAGATTTCTGTATATGGCTAATATATATATATATATATATATTGTAGGTGACTTCCGTTGTAGAATTATAACATTTGGAATTATTCTAAATCAGTATCGTGTTAATTTTTTCGTATAACGCAGTTAAATAATTATTTAGCATCATTCGATTATTCAGATATCACCGATCAATTTTTTAACTTTTTGGACTCTTAATAGTATTTTCTTAATTCTTATTATCGGTGCTTTATAAACTCTTGAAATAATGTTATAAAAAATTAACAACACAATATAGAAAACAACATATACTTCTATAAAGTATAGATATATTTCTAAAGTGCATCAGATATATTTATATAAAACACAATATATACTCTCTAGAGCATCATACATAATCAAGTACCAACTTTCCAGTAAAAATAATCAATATATAAACATTAAACTAGCCCCACTTTTACAAAGAAATATTTATTTCATTTGCACTCTATAAGGGAGAAAGTATATAAAATTATGAAATTAATTGATGCAATATTTAGTTTATTTTATTATTTTTATCTATTATTATGGTAGAATTAGTATAGTAACTTTAATTAACTATTAATATTACAAAAAGTGATTATTAATTATTATTTTTTATAGTAAAAGAAATAAAAAAAAAATGATTTTGGTATTCTTTTTACTAAAAAACAAAAAATATTTTTTGATAATTTAAAATAATAATAATAATAATAATAATAATAAACATAAATTTAAATAATAGATATTATATAATCTAATTGCTCCAAACAATATGCATAATAAACAAAACACCTCCATGACTGTTTATTATTATAGTCAGTTGAAAGAAATAAATATTCTAAAAGATAAGGACTTATTTGTTTGTGCAATGAATTAATAAAAAAATTCAATTGAAACAATTATTTAATACGATAAATAGTGATATTTTAAATAATTTTTTTATATAAAAAAAAAAATACACTTACAGACAGTGAAATTAATTTTTTTACTAACTCAGAAGCTCTAGGAACATACATAGGAAGTTATGTTCTGATTTTTTATTACTTTTTTTTATTTTCATTATACAGTGAAAAAATAACATATATTAATATAAAATATTATTCGATTAATTATTTATTAAAATAAATAAATATATTATAAAGATGTGGTTATGACCTTAGGGCTATCAATTATCAAAACAAAAAAAAAAATACATATATGCAAAAACAAACTTCTATTAATAATACACCAACACTAACACTTATAAGTAGCTGTGAACATATCATTAAAGAAAGAAGAAATCAAAGTAAAACCCGAACCCCTACGGCTGCATGCAATAGCAAATAAAATCGATTATGGTCTCGGGAAATTTTGTGCAATTCATTAATAGCTCTCTAAGATAATGAGAAGTGTTGAAACCAATTTTATATGATGGTATTGCGAGATGTAAAATTGCTTTTAAGGGTCTAGCCTCTCAGGTCAACATACCTTCTCATGAATTTTACCATAATGATCACCAGCAGCTCAGCTCATAACGAGTCTCTCCCCAGTGTCGATCAACCGAGGATCGGTAGGATTTTGGTAATATGTTCTAATGGAATGCTATCTGCAGCGCTCTTCTTGAGCTCGGGATGGTTGAATTCATTACGAGGGAAGATGATGAGTTGGTCATTGCTCTGGTTCTTTACCGCCCAACCAGAATTAGCAACGTGTTGCTCAATGAACTTGTCTAGCGAGGGGCCTTTGATGTTCACAAACTGAAAATAAAAAATAAAAATAAAATCCATGATCAGAATGATCTCAAAGAAAATGATCAAACATTTTACGAGGGTACCCAGCAAGGAAAGAGCTTATAAATAGATGATAACTATACCTCGCCAAGACTGGACCTCGGAACTTTCTGGAAGGTGAGCGAAAAGACGTGAATTATATATGCTTGCATTGCTTGCTCAAAGCCTGAATACATTAAGGTGCGTGAGTTATTCACATACATTACAGACAACCCATGAATGCGGAAACAAAAAGGGAACCAAAAACAAAAACACTTAATCCACCTAACAATTTGATACATATAAATTAAAACAATGTGGAAGGAATGACGATCTAAATTAAAATTTTCAAATAAACAAATAAATCGCCAAACAGCCCTCAAATTTTAGTCAATTTAAAGCTAATACTTTCTATACCAATTATGAATACCTGGCACAGCATCTAATATGTTACGGATCTTAGCAACTTCATCCCAAAACTGATCGAATCTGGTGGTCTGTAGACAAAAAAAAAAAAAAAAAAAAAAAAAGAAAAAAACAAAGAAGACAATGGATAATGCTGTATCTTGCTTAAACAACTGTAGCACAGAGTTTCAAGAGAAAAGGGGTCACGGCTAGCACCTCCAAATAGTGTGAGAGAACAATAAGAGTCTTGAATTGCTCCTCCATTTGCTGATGCGTTGTGATGTGGGCCATGAGAAACAATCACAAAATTAGAATAACAAGAACCTAAATATTCAATGATTAAGCTACTGAGTAAATTAAATGCCCGGTGGCGAGCAAACAAGAAGTACAATTATTGTGATAAAGGCATGGCTCGGGTAGCACTGCAACCGAGCTTGATTGCAAGAACCTGAGTTCAAGCTCAAGCACGCTTGATTTACTCCATTAAGCATTGAAACTCAATTCAAGCTAAACAAAACTATATTATAAAAATAATAATAATAACAATTGATCAAACAAACCATGACATTTCAAATTAAAATTATCACCAACTAAATATTGTTTCTTGAAAATATTAGGGAAGACACATTTCAACATAACTTAAAAAACTATATATTATATATAGAAATAGATACCAACTAGATACTCAAGACTCCACTCAACAAGATTATAATGCACTCACGATGCCAGACTTAATTAGGATACAGGACATTCAGCATAGGCTTGAACAGCCTACGTCATTAACCAGCTCTAGCCATAGTCATGAAAATACAACATAAACATGTTCAGACATTAACCACAAGAGTATTGCAAAATGTTTGATTCACATAACCTAATTAATGGAAAATCTGAATCATGTGTAAAACATTTTCGTCAACAAAGCAACGACACAGAAATTTTATACCTTTGACAAGAAAGCTTGTTTCCAAGATCATGAATATTCCAGTAATTCATCCGTAAAAAATTCAATTTAACAGATAGGGTAAACAGCAAACATATCTCTTGGAGAAAACAGGAATCAGTCTCTCAGTTCCATTAACCGGTGATTAATAGCTAAATCAACAACCTCATATTCCTTCTCTAGGTAAAGTTTTTAAAAAAACAAAACGCTCGCAAAACACTGCAAACAATAAATGGAGGATCAATTTTTGCCAAAAAGAAAAAGGCTACAGTATATACCACTCTTTCAGGAATTAAAAAGAGGCACAGGCTGAAATCAGGAGCTGGCATTGCCATCAGAGCCTGTAAAACATAACAAAAAAATTTACGAACCACCATTCAAACGAAAAAACAATGAGAAACTCAAAATAGAAAGTGAAGAAATAGGTTCCCGTACTACCAGGGTATGATTCTTACTTTGATCAAAATACGAGCAACAATTTGAGTGCTCATTCTCTCTGGTTCAAACTGCATATTTTGTTTTCACACACAGTAAAACCAAACCATTAATTGAATCAACAAAACACCACCGAAACTGGAAAATAAGCAGAAATGTAATACTCCTCCGGAGAGGGAGCTCAAAACTTGCCTGGTAGAGACGCAGCAGACAAAGATTGGCATTCAAACTGTAAGTTCGAGATGACACCTACATATTTAACATCACGAGAGTAAAAATTCATTCAGAAAACACAAATTCATCTCTTTAACCCAAAAAATAATAATAATTAAAAAAAACAAACACATCCACAAGCACAAACACAAAATACATAATCTTCACAGATTTAAAAATGGAATCATACTTGTTCGTTAACGTAATTTTCAAGATCGGGCAGGATGTCGGGGTTGTAGGGGTTAACGGCGACTAGATTCTCGACCGTGTACGACATCGTCGACTGCTGATTTTGGTTCGCCGCGTTCTCTATCTGTTCCCTTCCCATTTTCGCTTTCTTCTTCAATAAGCACTGCAAAATTACAGACACTGCTTCGCCGGATTATTAGATTCGATGCACTAGAAAGATTGGTTCTGCAAATTAGGGTTCTTGGGGGAAGCAAATTGACTAATATGCCCCTATTTGGGCTGAGTCACAATTCTAGTCCTAGCCCATATTAGGTTTGGGCCCGTCCAACTTGTTTTTATTTTCGGGGCTTTACATAATTGGGTCCATTTAAAATTACGGGTGACGTGTTAGACAACCTCCATCAAAGAAATCCATTTTGGATTTCTCATCACTTCCGCATCACATTTTTTTTTAAAATTTTATTTAAATATAAAATACATATATATTTATATTTATATCAAAATTATTTATTTTTAAAATAAAATTTTAATAAAAATATATCAACTTACAAATTATTATGTAGAAAAATAAAATTTTATATAATATAAAGATATAAAACATATAAAAATAAATAATACTCCCTCCGTTCACACATAAAGTATACAATTACTTTTGGCGCGGTGGTTAGTTAAAAGTATTGTAATAACATTTTTGTCCTTATTTTTTGGTGTAAAAGTAATAATGTGATGTAAAGTAGGGGTATTTGTGCAAAAAAGTGAGATATTTAATGAAATGTTTACTTTATATGTGTTTCTTTTGGTTGAGTTTGAAAATTTTTTGTTTGAATTTGGTATTTAAATAATATTTGATGAGATTTTTTGTGAGATAAGGATACCTGCGTATTTAATGAGGATTCAATCCAAAAAAATTTATCTTTTTTAGAAAACACATAATCTAAATAATAAAAATGGGGAAAATTTGGGTAAAGAAACAGATATTACTTTGCATTTTAAAATGAATGTATACTAATTATGGAGAGTCGTATCGTTAATATAAAAATGATACTTAACGTTGAATTCTTCATTGCATATATATATATATATATATATATAAACTAACCAAACACGGGCTAGATCTGATCTTATTGTGTCCTAATTAACAACAATGTAGTAGTTGGGGGGACGAGTTACGGATGACACATCTTTATAAACAAATAGCACAATATTGTGGGTGCTATGTGAAATAATAAAGCCATATATTGTGTTGCATGTGTTGTACTAGACTATATGTGATATATTTGTATTATATTATTTTATTCGTCCCATATTAAATGTTCATACTTTTCATTTAGTCCGTCTTATATAATTTATTATTTTTTTAAAAATATAATTATATGTTTTAATCATATTTTAAATTTTATAATTTTTTTTAATCTTAATTAAATTATATACTTATTTTAATTTTACTTTATAATTATTTTTAGAGAAAAAATCATTTTTGTTCCAATATAAATATCTTATCAATTTTGATCTCAATATAACCAAAATTCATCATTTTTTGTCCCAATATAACCAAAACTCACCATTCTTGGTCCTAATATAAATTTTTTTATCAATTTTAGTTATAATATAACCAAAACTCATCATTTTTTGTCTCAATATAATCAAACCTTATTTTTTTTGTCATACCGTCAACAAACCGACGGAAAATGCTGACGTGGACTTGCAAAATTGTGCAATTTCTTCGAATATAAATATAAGGTTTGATTTCTTTTTACGTCAACATTTTCCGTCGGTTTATTGACGGTAGAACAAAAAAAGATAAGAGGTTTGATTATATTGAGACAAAAAATATGAGTTTTGGTTATATTTAGACTAAAATTGATAAATTTTTTATATTGGTACCAAAAATAATAAGTTTTGGTTATAATTATACCAAAATTGATAAAAATTTTATATTGAGACCAAAATTGATAAATTTTGATTATATTAGAATTAAAAATAATTTTTTCCCTTATTTTTATTATACAATACTTTATTTTTACTAATATACTTTATACGAAACAATTTATCCGAAACGGATAAAATACTATATATAATGTTCTCTCTATAATATTATGTATTATCTATTAATACAGTGTAACCCCACCCGTAGGTTAGCTGTAGGACATTGTAAATCTGCACCAATTAATTAAGAGTATGTTAAGTAGCTAGTTGTTTGTTAGTCAAAATTAAAACAGGTGAGATTAAAATATTGCACCAAAGCAAAGTACTTAAATGTATATTATAATATTTAATTTGATAACAAATAAAAATAAAAATAAAAATAAAAATAAAAATAAAAATATGATGTTAATAAGTAGTGCCATATTGGAAACGTAGGGTTTAAGCACAGGAAAAAAGGTACTAATTAAATAATCAATTAATTAATACTTGCTTCCCAACAACATTAAAATTTGTAAAAGCAATTTCAAGAAAAACCGTCACATGTCCCACTCCCGCGTATTATCTTAAACCATCAAATCTGCCCACTGGTTTTTTGAATGGTTTCAACCCTTCATTTAAGGGATAAATGAAAATTAAACGACGTTTTTGTGAATTTGATTTTATTTAACTTAATAAAGTCACATAAATTTATATAATATTTAATTTGGTATTTGTTAGTGTTCATTAACAATCAAATTAAGATTTTTATATTTTAAAATTATATTATATATCTGTTCAGTAACAATCAAATTAAGATTTTTATATTTTAAAATTATATTATATATCTGTTGAGAACTTTTGTTTGTTAAAAAATAATTAATGACCTATATACCTAACAATCTAAGTTTTTAAGTGAGACAATCATTCTGATCATATAATATAGTATAGTCATTCCTAGACTTTTGTTATTTTTTTCTACTTACATATTGATGAAAGTTTAAACTTTTCCTTATTGCATAAGGATATATTTTATAATTTAGTGTAATCACCTAATTATTTAGGGTGTGTTTTTCCATTATTTTCAATTTTTTTTAAAAAAATTAATATATTACATACATTCATTATTTTTATATTACTTACACAATTTTATATATTTCACATAAAAAAATTATTTTTTTCAAATAATTTCACTAAACAAATTAACACACCCTTAATTTTTTATTAATATAATTGTTCGATAAATATTATTAAAAATTATATATACATATAATACTATACAATATACAATACATTCTCCATCTATTGATATAAAGCCAATAATTTAATAAAAAAATTATTATTTTTATATTATTAAGGGTCAAGGGTGGGCTGCCCCACTCCAACTTCACTTTTACTTTATTTTATTAATTTTTTTATTTTAAAAAAATAATATATATATATATAATCTATAGAAAATATTTAAAATAAATAAAAAATTATAAAAATATCAAAGTATTGATTTTTTTTTTAATAAAAAAGTGCATTAGGTTTTTTTTTCTAAAATATAATATATTAATATTTACTAATAAAAAAGATTGTCTTTTTTTTATTTGGATTATATTTGATGTAATAATTAATATTTAATATTTGTATGAAAAAATAAATATAAAATTATTAAGTGGATAATAGTAGTATTATTTTACAAATAAAAAATTTATTTTATAAATTTAAAAATTTTGCCCCCCTCTATTAATATTCTAATTCCGCCACTGTATATATAAATATATATATATATATATCAATGTAAAATCCCAAACAAATACACCCATTATGTTTATATTCTCATGGATATGTAAAATATTTCAAACTAAAGTATTTATGAAGGTAAAATCATGCTATAATCCGGGGAGGACATAGTATGTAATAGGAGTATTTCATAATATTAACTTAAATAATAATAATAATAATAATAATAATAATAATAATAAGGTTGCAGATCGCTGAACCGGTCAAGTCAGCATGATGCTGATTTGATCGGATCAGTATATGTCATATGAGTTATCGGTATATATTTATACATATTTTAACATATATTGTATTATAAGATATCATATATTGACTTATAATATAATATATATTGTATTATAAATATATTGAAATACGTATAAATATATATTGGTCATCCCTAAAATATATAATTCGATCAAATAAGCACTGTATTGACTTCATCGGATTAACAACAGATTTATGCCCCAATAATAAACCTCAAAGAGGTTCATACCTCCTAGCAAATGAATATGCAAGAACTCCAACCGCTAATTACTTTATTTATTTATTTAAATCAGTTGGATTCGACTAATTAGCAGTATGATTTGATCTGATATAGGGGCCATTAATCTGATGTTAATTTGACTATGTCAGAACAAATTGGGTGTGTTTGTTTGGGTGTTTGAATTTTGAGTTGGGATTTGAATAGTAAAAGTTTTGAATTTAATAATTGTACGATGTGATATAAATAGGTGTTGATGTGATGTTTTGAATGTAAAATTGATTTTTAGTATAATATATAAAAAATGAAAAATAGGTGTTTGATTTGATATTTTTTGGGAAAAAAAAATGGATTGAATAGTGAAAATCTAATCCAATCCTCCAAACAAACACACTTGCATGTATATAAAGCGCAACATAATTGTATTATGTTGGATACATATTTATTGTGTTGAAATTAATAATATATATTGTATTATGTAGAATTATATCATATATTATCGTAATATGGATGGTATGTATTATCGCATTGTCAAATATTTACTGTTATTTTGTTCATTTTTACTGAATATGTCAAAATAATACCATATTAGTTTGACATAATCAACATAGAAATCGAACCCAATCTATATAATATATATTTGAGGTCGGTGTGAGTCCACACGATCAATTTTTTTTTTTTAATTTTTTAATAAAAATAATTATATTAATTAATATAATTAATAGATTACCATTAATATTATATATGTATTATTGATATAATTAATGGAATTATAACTAATACATATAATTATTAAAATTAAAAAATTATTATTATTATTATCTATATATTATATAGATAATTTAAGATATTCATTGTATAATATAATATATATATATAAGAGATCGGGTGAGGTCCACTCCATCAAATTTTTTTTATCAAATTTTTTTGATTTTTTTAATAAAATAAATATGTATTAAATGCTATTAAGTATATCATAATTAATAAAATTATAATAAATACATTCGTTAAAAATAATAAAATAATTGATTTAATTTTATGATTAAAGTAAATTATAATTTTGTTTATTT